GTGTGCCGTCCACAACCCCAAGCCCGATGAATGTATGTGGATCGGAAGTGGGTTCAGATGAACTGTAGTTGTCTGTGTGCCGTCCACAACCCCAAAGCCCCATAGCCCGGTGGCTGTACCTGGTCCCAAACGAGGTGCACGAAGCCTAGTCAAAGCTGTCTTGAGAGAAAAAAATAAATTGTAAAGAATCTGGGTCGAACACGGGTACAGATGCATGAAAAAAAAAAAAAAAAAAAAATCAAATAAAATCCTGTTATGGATTCCGCTGTGCACTTCATGTATATGCCTGAAAAAAGGATTCAGATGCATTCAAATTGTATGTGTCCCGTTGTGCATTTTTTTCGCACTAGGTGAAGCGGGCGGCATCGGGGCGCACTCCGCACAGAGAGGTTCGTATGGACACCCGTTGGTGCGAACGGCCAGCAGTAAGGACCCAAAAAAAAAAGAAGGAAAAAACAAATTATAAAAAATGAATAATTGCATTTCCCATTTGAGGTATCCACCGTGTGACCTGCGCCCTCCCCAAGCACGCAGAGTACGATGTAGCGACCTTGTCGTTAGCGTGTTGGGAACACAGTGTGACCGGCCAGGGCCGCGTTTCCTCAAAACGGCCCTTCCCATTTTCCCACTTTTTGCGAATTTGGGTACCTAGTGTGAGCGTGCCCTCAGACTGTAATTGCAGTTCGATACATCGATACATCCAAATCTGGCTGTAATTGACGTCAGGTACGTACGGGAAAGTCCGAATGTGAGTGAGTGCACCCTCAAAACTCAAAACTCTGTCCTCGACGGAGTCAATCCCAGATAAAGTGAAGTGTCTGTTGCGATCAGCTTCATGTATTAAAAAAAATAATAATAATAATCCAAGGGTCGGTATGCCCCACGTGTTCTTTTTTTTGTTTTTTCAAAACAGGGAAAAAATCATTAGGAAAAAGAATCCAAGGATCGGTATGTTCCCACGTGGATAGGTCTACCGTTTTCGCTGCGAGGGTACGGAAGAGACGACACCATTCATGTGCAAAAATAAAAAGAAACAAAACAAAAAAAAAAACCCACCATACAATCAATCAACACGGATGGCCCCTTATAAAGCAAACCACCAGAATATTACGAGATGTTGACACGACGGCATAGAAAAAAACGTGGACCTCGTCGACAGAAATGACTTCTGGACGTGATATCAGTCGGATACATACATGACAAGCCGTAATTGCTGTCACATACTTCCCATTCCAGCAGACTATTATTGAGTGACATTTAAGACTGTTCTCGCACTAGGACTTTGCTGGATGTATGCGACTGCAATGACGGCCCGCCCTGGATGTATCGAGCCGCAATCACGTCCAGAGCTAAGTCGATAATGTTCTACTGTGAGTTTGCCCTAATAAGGGTACTATGCGAACCTAATGCAACAATACAGACGCAGTAGGGATGACATGTCGGGGGAGGGAGGGGAGGGGGGACTAAGTATTATTGAACTGACCAGAACAGATACTACACTTGACCTTAGACAAATGCTCGAGAAAGTAAAGGGGGAAAATTGCTATTATGGAATTTATGGATACTATTTCAACAGTCTCCAAGCATACTCACACTAGGACTTTACTCCACCCCGCTATGGACGTGAGTGCGGTCAGATACACCCACCTCGGGCCGTAATAGCGGTCAACCACATTGGCACTTCCCTAAATGTATCTGACGTAATTTACGGCCGCAAGTGGATGATTTGTCCGCAATCACGTCCACCAGAGCTTACTAAAAGAAGTCCTAGTGTGAGTATGCCCTAAAGATCTGCCGCGTGTTTATAACACTATCAATATTTAGAAAAAAACGGATCTCGCGCGTGGAAAGACGACTGGGAACAAAAAGAAAAAAAGCACAAGAAGAAAAGAAAAAAACGCACCTTAGCCAGTCGTCTGCACCAACGACTAAAAGTAAAAAGCATGAAATGAATGCACAACTGTATTTTTTTCCACCCAAGAAGTGAATCCCTTCTTAGGCCAAACAAGAACTCAAAGAGTAAAAACAATACCGTTTCTAAAAAGGCAAAAAATCAAAGTCAGAGGAAGGAACAGCGTTACAGCGGCACACGCGGGTCAACGCGCTACCTGAGTCAAGCATTGACCAAAAGTACGCTCGCCTGCGCTCTCTCAGTTCGGCAAATGTCACATCGACATTATGAGAGGCCAAGAGATCAATGACAATCTGAGCCCAAGAACGGTCATCCTTCAGAACCACCTGTTAAGCAGCCGTCACATAAATACACCGGGAAAACATCATCAGAAATTTCAGAAAAAAAAAAGAACAAATAATAATAATCCACATAAAATGGAAGCCCCTGGGAAACGAAAAAATGGCATTAAAAAAAAAAAAAAAAAAAAAAAAAAAAAAAAAAAAAAAAAAAAAAAAAAAAAAAAAAAAAAAAAAAAAAAAAAAAAAAAAAAAAAAAAA